TTGTGTATCCATGCAGGTACTTATTCAGTGAATGTACTTTTACGGGTACCCCAAACAGTACATACATCAGTAAAATTACTGAGAATTTTCAAAGTACCCATATTGGGTACCCTGAACTCAGTACCAGAGACCGTCACAGGGCAGTTTTTTTATGTCCTGTCCTGCTCTGCGCCCTGCCCTGCCCTGCCCTAATGATGATTCATAATATTTTTTTCTGTCCTGCCCCGCCCTGAGGGCAGGACAGGGTGGCCCTGAACTTGGAAATCCAGCTTAAATGAGGAAATATCTAATAGCTTTAAAAAACCTCGTAATGGTAAAGTTTTAATCGTTTGTTTAATTCGATCCGATTGAAAGTTATTTGTATCGATGAAGTTGAAGATGGAATGAAAGTAGGGATCTCAATATGTGTCTACCTTTCATTTAGTTTATGCGTAAATTAAGTGGTAAATAATTTATATTTATTGTAAATATAAATTATTTCGTTACAAAGTTTATATTACAAATCAATATGAATTCTAATAATTTACAACGATTTATAAATATAAATTTTGCAACAAAATAATTTACATTTATAATAAATATAAATTTCTTACAATTCATATTTATTATAAGGTAAACGGTAAATGACGGCCCAAAGTAAAAGTGATTTATTATGATAATAATGATATTGTTTCCGAGTTCAGTGCTGAAAAATATTTATCAACATATTGTTTAAAACATTTTTCACCACTCATCGTATTGTAAACTTGATTACTAGTACATTTGAAACCACTATGAAATTTAGGAATTCTTTCTAACTGATGATTACTTAATTATACTGGATAACCAAATACTCTTCACCATCTAACAGCAAGTGAAGATCCGTTCTTTATTATTTGATATTTCGATCTTTCAGTCAGTAATCAATATTTAATCGTTGCAGTATCGAATGAACTCATAATATATGACGGCAGATTAAAATATCGAAGATAGAAAACTCAATGAAATAATTGAAACTAGAAAATTTAACTAAAAAATTTGAAGAAACTGGAACATTGGCATGTTTTTAAACTTTTATATGAAGTATGCTGTACAAAACTACGGTCATTTATGAAACTATTTGGAAGAAGAATATATGAATATACTTAACAAAAAAACTGAATTTTTCTCTTATATAATTCTGCATCATTGTGAAATGCTTTTTCTTTTCTCTTCAAATCATCTGTATGTTTCTATGCGAAATATAAATGGATTATATGATGTCCAATATAATAATAAAAAATTCTTCTAACTAGGTACAATGCCAAAAGTTATGATAGTCAGTTTATAGCGATATCAATTACAATTGCTCGTAATATCAACATATCAAAATTATTTACTAGAAAATCTGTTTCAAATAACTGTCTCGAGAAAAAAGAATAACAGGGCAAAAATATTTTGCCCTGCCCTGCCCTGGCATGCCCTGCAGGGCAGGACGAAAAATAAAAAAACTTGCCCTGCCCTGCCTTTAGGGCAGGACACCAGAGATGTCCATCGCGGCTGAAAATCTGCCGCTGCCGCGCCGCGGCTTTAGAAAAAAAAAGCTGCCGCACCGCTACCGCGTCGCGACGGTTTATAAAAAAAATGTTGCCGCGACGCTGCCGCACCGCGATGACTTATAAAAGAAACGCTGCCGCGATGAATTATAAAATAAACGTGCCGCCACCGCGCCGCTGCCGCGACGATTTTCAAAAAAGTGTTTCTAATTTCACTGCTGTGACTATATTCGACCAGAGATATGGGTACTAGTCCATCAGATTTATTCAATATCAGGGCGTTTCGTTTGTAAATCGTGAAATTCTATTAAATTCATACAGTTTTTCAATGTCCTCCAAAAAAATCCTGCCGCTGCCGCGATGGTTTTTTAAAAAACCTGCCGCTACCGCGCCGCTGCCGCGATGACTTTTAAAAAAATCTGCCGCTACCGCGCCGCCACCGCCACCGCGGCAGCGGCAGCGGTAGCGCCGCGATGGACATCTCTGCAGGACACCAGGGCCGCCCTGCCCTGTGACGGTCTTTGCTCAGTACTTTCTCTAGGGATATTTCACACATTTGAGATTTCAATCTTGTTTTCGTACTACTCTCAATCTTATGAAAGTTCTTATACTCGTATTATAGCATCGTATTCGTTTCATATATGCACTATATATTAGATGTATGTTCAAGAGATTTATTCGAATATAAATTCGTAAACAATTAAAAGATCGGTATGTACGATCAGAAAATAAAGATACATTTGCGTCTTACTATCAAAATTTACTTTGTAATCTACAGAATATATTAATAATGATCTATTGAGAAAAATCGAGCATGTGCTGTTTTTTTTTTGACAAATCAATCAATTTCATTATTATCTTCATATCATTCTTCATCGTTTTCAAAAGAAGAAAAAGAATATATATTCATTAATACATTACGAGAAAAAACTTTCATTGACTACACATATGAAAATTATCATAATTATATCGATCTAATGATAAATAATAGAGAGAAGAATTTGCTCACTTCAGATAAGATCATCTATTTTGCTGATCAATGAATGTTTTCTTGTCAAACAGAAAAGAGATCAAAAGATGACACACCAATTGGTCCATTATCTCAATTCATGTCGGCTATTTCACTTCTTTCCGGAATAAAACAAATACATTCGTTCAACTCGTTTTTTGCATTGACAGTTTCATTCGTATCAGAATTTTTTGCACAGTATAAAAATAATTGAAAATCATTTTGAAGAAATATGTCTTTGCATTTCTTCAACTAATTTTGTATCATAGTTTACTTGTTCGGAAGAATATTCATGATATTAAATTTCTAACTATGTTAAAACAAGTTTTAAAAAATATGACTTTGAAATATGGGAGATTATCCTACCGATTGGAACGAGTTAATTATATTCGAAGAGAATGTCTCAAAAAAAGAATACTTCCGGTTTACTTCATCGTCTTTGGCTACAACTAACTTGATCGAATTTTATTGTGGAGAACAATTACCTCTAATTAATTTTCTCATCTATATAGTAATGTCGATACGGCAAACAAAAATTTGAATTTTTAATAATTTGTTTTGATTGAAAATTTCCAGTCGGAAAAAGTCTATTAATTCATCGTAATACATACTAACTTTTCCCAAAACAGACAATGCAGTTCTATTATCATTTGAACAAACACATATGCATCGCATACCTCTTATTTCGATTGCATAGAATAACTGCATTATGTGAAAACGTCTTGTAAACTGTAGCGAGGTGATTTTAAAAATCACATCAAGAAAGAGTATCTCAAGACAATTGTGCATTGTTTGGTCTCTATCATGGATTGGATCGCGTGATCAATTCGATAATTATATGGCTATGTGTAGTTTTGAGCGATCACGAAAGCCAATTCTAGAACATTCGACTACTATGATATCACTTCTGTTAATTTTGTACGCAATCCTATTTGTGAAATACTTGTTGGATTGTATTATTTATTGAATTTGATAAATGGAAATGAAAATAGAATATCGAGATAAACGAGAGACATGCCAAACAAATTCCACTCATTTAGACTTATTTGATTTTGTTTCTTTTTTGAATATGATCTCTACAAATATGCTTCTCATTCGTTTTGAATTATTCTAATAATCACTAACGCTATCATCTTTCTCTATCAAAAATTCTGATAAGAAAAAAAATCAGATTACTAGTATTTGTGTTCATCTTACAACTCAATCGATTTTTAATTTTAGAATTCATTCATGATAAAAAGAGGGTGTAGTGTATGGACGTGTCAAAGGATCGAGGCAAAAATTTCATATTTCACGGTATCACAGCATACTGTATATAAGTTTTCTTTTGAAGTATGTGAGAGTGTGTTTGATTACTAAACGTGTCTTTCCTTGATCCTGCACTCAGACTTCACAAGAAAGTAGAAGATACAGAAAAATAATACAAAATTGTATATAACATTTGAAGTGTTATATTTATTTCTCTACTAAAAAAATGCTTTTTTCGGTACATAATCAGAAGTAGAAATTGTTTATATATCCAAAGAATGAAACAACACATAGGTAATAAAAGAAACAAGAAAATAGCGAGCATAGATATTAAATTGATAGCAAAAAGAAATATATTTCATTTTAATGATGATTACCCTCGTAAAGGTATATTGACAATTGTTATGATAAGTTTCATAAAAACAACCGAGTCTTCGAAAATTAGACATGTTTGCAACGTTCATACTAGTGAATAAAAGATAATAGGCACCAGAGATGTCCATCGCGGCGTGACAGCGGCAGGTTTTTTAAAAAACCATCGCGGCAGCGGCAGGATTTTGTCTGAAGGACATTGAAAAACTGTATGAATTTAATAGAATTTCAGGATTTACAAATGAAACGCCCTGATATTGAATAAATCTGATGGACTAGTACCCATATCTCTGGTCAAATGTAGTCACAGCAGTGAAATTAGAAACACTTTTTTGAAAACCGTCGCGGTAGCGGCACGTTTATTTTATAATTCATCGTGGCAGCGGCGCGGCAGTGTTTCTTTTATAAGTCATCGCGGTGCGGCAGCGTCGCGGCAACATTTTTTTTATAAACCGTCGCGGCGCGGCAGATTTTCAGCCGCGATGGACATCTCTGATAGGCACTGGAAAATAGTAGCAAAAATAAATTAGCTAAGAGAAATGAATAGTATTTACTCATACTTTCATATTGAATATCGGTTTTCGATTACAATCATAGAATTTATTTGATACTAACTGCTGTTACAATTATCATTGGACAAGATTTTTTTTGCAATATTACTGATATGAAATTTGAACATAATTATGAATCTTAGAGATTTGGTTAATTATTATTCTAGTTCTTTATATTAAATGAAAAATAAAGAGACTATAATTAAATAAAGTGATTTTTTTATTGTTAAAATTTTTAAAAATAACTTGTTTTTTCGAATAAAAATGTGTACGATCACTTCTTAATAAAAAAAAAAAAAAAAGTATTTATGATGTTTTTTTTTCAATATTCGATCTACATTTTGTTATTAATTTTTTTGAATCACTTGTTATATATAAACGATCTTTCCAATCAAGAAGACCAACTGATGGTGCTTGATATTCCAAATGATTTATTAAACCTTGTTTATCATTAGTAAAAACAAGAACTCGTATATGTTTTAAATTATTCTTATTTAAGAATAATAATAAATCAAATGGATTTTTATTTTCTTGTTTATAATAACCACGACATACTATTTGAAATGCTGTTGATGGTGATCTGATTTTATTTAGAATTTGTCTTATATGATCTTGTGCCATTGCAAATGTATCACGAAAATCGACATGAATTTTTCCATCACTTATTAATTGATTTGCAACATCAGAATTATCTGCATTTTTTTTATCAATCCAAAGTATAAACGATTTGGATGAATTATTTATTTGTGGTATTCTTTCAATATAAGGACGAAATTGTTTTGGTGATGCTGCATGACCATGATTATTTTTATGATGTATTTCTTGACATTTTACAACTACATTACCAATATATTCTGATCGTTCTGTTTTCCAAAATTTATTATCCTTGTAATAGTCGCTTTCGTCATCATCATCATCATCATCATCATCATCAACTGACACATCTTTATTTATACAACTTGTAGGAGATGTAACATGGCCTAATGCATAATCATGATGTTTAGTTTGAGTATTCTGAATGTTTGTATTTTGAATTTGTAGTTCTTTTCGATGACGAGAAACTTCCGAAATAGTTTTTATTGTATGTAAATCAGAACAATATTTTGGATTACTCATATATTGATAAGGAATGTAACCATATCCTTTATCACCCTAAAAAAAAATCAAATTATTAGTTATGACGAAAATAAAGAATTTTTTATAAGTTATCAATATAGTTTCTAACAATGAAACTTCTCTAAGTGTTAATTTGCGATCGAGCTCATAAGTAAGACTAGCAAAAGTCCGAAAGGATTCGTCCCCATACGCTGTTCTTTCGACCTCTGGCAATGGTATTTATAGAGAAGTTCAACAATGAAATTTTGTTCATAAACAGATCTCATGATCATTAGAATGTCCTAATAAAATGAACGTTTCTTTCTCAAGATATTGAATTTTCAAGGAACGATCGTATGTCAAAAGCAAAGGTCAAACAATCGAGCTTCTTGGAAACTCAATATCTTGAGAAAGAAACGTTCATTTTATTAGGACATTCAAGTGACCGTGAGACATGTTTATGAACAACATTTCATTGTTGGACTTTCCTATAAATACCATTGCCAGAGATCGAAAGAACAGCGTATTGGGACGAATCCTTTCAGATTTCTACTAGTCTTACTTATGAGTTCGATCAGCGATTAACACTTACAGAGGTTCTCTCGTAAGAGACAATGAGACACTTCTAATAGAGCTTGAGTCAATTATTTTTGGTTCTTAGAGAAACAAGAGCACGCTTCTCATTTCGGAAAGTCAATGTCATCGTCCTGAAGTTCGAAATTATCACTCGACATGATTTGCCAATGCACGACTGTTATAACTTCAGATAATTGCTCTTCATAAGCAACAAACAGAACTCTTATCACTTCAAAGTACAAGTGATAAATTTATTCAATTAGAATGTGAATGTCAAAGTAATTGAAGAAAAGATTCACATCCATCCTCATACTCTAGAAAAGAGTTCTATTCATTACTTTGGGATGCTATAGAAGTTTATTCTTGTTATGATAAATTCAAAAAATGAAATGATACAACACAAAATTTATTAGAAAAACAAAATCAACTTACCCATTGTGGTCCCCATGAATTTTTAACAATGAACTGTTGTGATTGATCAATATATCCAACTGCTAGCATTGCATGTAAATCACCTGGACTGTTTTCAAGTTCTTCGGATTTTGGCGTTGATACAATTCCACCATTTGTTTCAGCATCGGCAAACGATTGAAATGTTGCAAGACCAAATGCAAATGGATACCCTTGTGCTAAACATGCTTTCATTTCATATAAATCAACATTTAATTTCATGCCATTTGTTATACGATAGTTTACAGCTTCAGCATAACAATGAGCCGGTGGTTGTTCATTAATTTTATTGATATCATATGGAAATTGATCTTCTTTACAACAACCATATTCTTTTAATCCTGCGATACCAGACGTTATTGAACAACCTGAATCTTCCATATAGGCCATATTGGGTTCATCTTTTATACGACCATTATAATAAATAAATAGACGGCTAACATCAAGATCTTTTCCAGTTTTTTTCTTTATTAAAAATTCATAGGCAGCTAAAATGAAATATATATATGATATAATGATAAATATCAATAATAACAACTTACCAGCCAATGCATTACCAACACTAGAATGAAAAGATATTAATTTTTTTTTTAAAGTTTTATAAATATTAAAAAAATGAAACATGATTGTAAGATTTTGAAGAATGTTATTTAGAAAAAAAAAACTATTCTTAAATTTATTTTAGTTAATTAAAAAAATATCATAATATACTGACCATGCAGAAGTATCCCCTTGTAATTCCACTGCCGTCATTCCTGGACTTAAATCAACTGATTCTGGTAAAGCTGTATTTGGATATTTTCGTGCAGATGAAAATTTCAGTGCAGTCGATGGTTGTAGACTACGTTTACAATCATTAATACGATGACGACTACCGGTTTGGGGATTGACTAAATAAACTTTTTCGGCCATAATAGTTTATATACTATTTATAATCTAAAATGAGAAAAGTAGACAAAATAATATATCCATCGGAAATATTTTTTCTGATTTTCAAGGTTGAACAAGGCCTTTTTTTTTGTTTTTCTTTTACATAATCGATCATCATATAAAAAAATCAAAATCAATCGATTGTAAATCTTATAATTCATCAACATAAAAAAAAAAGAAAACTTAAATTTTAAAAACCAGTAGGAATTTATCATACTAATCGATTATAATGTTTTTTTTTTCTCACTAATAATCAAACCAAAAAAAAAATCTCACGATTATGTTTCAAAATTTTTTCCTCGTTTAACAATATTTTCATTATATTGAAGAAAAAAAACAATCAATTTTCAAATAGTTCTGTTCATAACAATAACAATCAATATAGTACTTACCGTCGTGAATATACAAGCAATATAAAAAATCAACTTATGTTTTATTAGTATGAATAATGAGAATATTACGACTGGGAAGATTCATTTCTGACATCATGATACGTACAGGTAAGAGAAAAAGAAACGAAAAAAAAAAAAAAAACAACAACAGATGAGAAGAAGAAAGATATACGTCATATAAACATGTGTATATATATGTGAAAATAAACAAGAGTGTGTGACAAAATTTGTTATCTCAAGACAGAATAAGTAAAAAAAAAAAAAAAAAAGGTAGTCATGCGAAACCTCCTTATCAACATTCAATCTATTGAAATATTAGTAAACAGACAAATTAAACCTAATGTAAAGTTGGACAATATTTAGAGAAATGAATGAAAAGAATAAGTCAAAATCTTATTTCACAACAGACAAGAGGTGATTGACAACAAAATCGATCCTTTTTGACAATTATTTGTATCATTAACTTATATATATATATTTTTTTCTCTTCAACGTGATAAAGTAAATATGTAGATTTTTATCGTCTAATTAACTGTCTGGCTTCAAGGTATTTTAATTACAATTTGCTTAGAAATATCAAAAATAAAATAATTTTTGAATACACCCGATCAATTTCCAATAGAAATCCTTGAAATTTCTCTTTTTAGACATCTCAACACTGTTAATATTTCATAACTTAAAGCTAATATAGATGACTTAGGCACATCCATAATATCATCATAGAGTGAAAACAACTCATTTCTATTAGTTTTTAACATGCTTTAAAAAATATTCACTCGATTTGTGACAATACACCATGATATAACATTGAAAAAAGAAACAACGGTGTTAGTTTCTAGGTATCTATCACATGAGACATCTCATACAGTAGATCATTCAACTCGCCAATGTAGAAACATTAATCGAATCGATATTAAATCTTAATACGGACCAAAATTATAGATCGATTATAAAGAAAATGTTTCTTCTATGGAATATTTCGCCTCAAGAAAAAATCGAAACAAAACGATTTTGACTCGAAATTTTACTCATAAATAACTGATATGCTATTTAGATTTCACTGAAATTTTCAGCAACAACTATTGTTAGTGGGTGACGTACTTTTCGTCTCAAGTCATTCCGAACTCCGGACATGTGTCCGGATGTTCGGAAATGAATTTTTCTCCTTAAATATTTATGACTGGAGTTCGTAATAGAAAAAACGAGGAAATCGGAATGGTGCTACCGGGTGTTCGGAATAGAATGAGTTTTATTATATCTGATGTAGATATCGGAGATCGCCAGGAACAAGGTCGGATATTCGAAATGTATTCGTAAAAGAATTTACTAGAAGATCGTAACGGATATTAAGATTTTTCTTTCTGTTTTTTATAAACAAGACTGACTGTAAGACAAGCGTGTCACTTCAAAATCTCTCAAAGATGAGTAAAATCTCAACATAGTTACGAACTTCCAAACTTTCTCATTCTGATCTCCAGTCAAGATTTTGCTGCTCAACTATTAACAATTGATTGTCAGAATTCGTCACGAACTTCTGGACAAAGTTCATTCCGAACATTCTGTCTTTTTTTCTATGTCCGGAGATCGTAACGGACTATTTCAACTGAAGTTCGTAATGAAAAGTCATTTTTCCTGTTTAGTTTTGGAAATATGGCATGTTGAAGATAAGTCAGTTTTTGTGATTGTTTTCTGCGTCTAATATCTCAACAACAAAGTATCTGTTTTGACTGAAAATTTAAGGATCATATAAATTGATCAAGGGCGAAATTCCTTTCTTTCAGATTTTTGCAAGGTCCAAGATTTTCAACTGATGGTTATACATAGCAACGATAATCATCTTTTATTATTAACAGTAAATAAGAATTCAAGACCTAATGAACTTCTTTTACAAAGTCAACAACTTTATCATGTTTCACATTTTAATCCTCCACGTATTTTACTGATAATATTTTTACTCGTTCGCTTTATAGATTAATTTGACCAATATTTTTATTTCCTTCAATGAAATTTTATTACGACAAAAAAAAGAAAACGTTGTTATATAACAAGAAAAGAAAAAAATATTAATTTTACATTTATTTAATTGATTAATATCTTTTCGAATTAACTGCTATAGCTGCTCGTGTATTATTCGAAGTAGTATTCATTGGTAGAATACTATTCGGAGTTCTTGATAAATGTAGACGAGTTTCACGATAAATTTGACCCATTCGACATATCAATCGAATACATTCATGTCGATATATATCAGCTGAAAAAAAATATAAAATAAATGCTGTAACACATGATAAATAAAAAAAAAGTTGACATATTAAATACATAAATTGAAATTTTGTTGTAGTTTTAAATGAATTTGGTAAAACTAATATTAAATATGCAATAGATAAAGGAAGTGTTAGTACAATATAAGTACCAACTTGAAGAAGAAGCATTCGACCAAGTTGATTTTCAGTTCGACGATAACGTACAGCTACTCTCGGAAGAAAACGTATATGTTTCATATTATATATAGTCATTCCACCAAAAAATCCCATAAGACATGGTGGAATAATAGCAAAAACCATAACTTGTGTTATTGGATAAATTTGTTTATAAATTGTATCACCTCGTATAGCACATCCAAACGAATCATCTTTTCGAAGATCAATTAATACAAAATAATTAATATAATAAAGTCCTATTAATATAACAACAGATATTAATGTCCATCGTGTTATACGTATATTACTGTTAGCGTCAGTAGATGGTGCTTACTGACGCTAAACGTTTATCTTATGTTATCTATTTTTTGAATCTCTAATTTGATTTGTTACGTAATCTCTCAACTATGATTCATCTCGTGATTATCTTTTTGTTTTTCGTTATTGCGCAGTTGTTGATGTTCTATCGTATCGATCACTCGATACTCAATATATTCTATATATGAAACGACGGCAAAGTCGATTATTAAAACATGTTTAGCTCTCCATTTTTGGCAGACTAAATATTAGTTCTACCATTGCTACATAATCCCCAAAACGAGAGCTAACAATTACTAAATTTTCGTCGTTGAATATTTTTTGAACTTGCACAATATCGATCAATAGATGCCAAAACAATAAAATAAGGTGATATAACTACACATACACCAGTTATATATTGAATAAATTTACATGATAGAATTGAAATTTTAGTTAAATCTAATTGATAATCAGTAATAAGAAGACGATTGATAAGAAAAGATTATTACCAGCAAGTGCAAGAAAATAACGTGAACACGAATGATTGTACAAAGCTGATCGCGTAAGTACGATAATATTAATTGAATTACCTATGATTCCAATGATAATGATAAAAGGAACAATAATACATATTAGTTGAATAGCAACTAGTATGAGTGAATCAGTCATGATGTTTTCAAAGATTTTTACTAAACTTTTAACAAGTAATATGCTTCAGTTTGTTCAATACTTATATACATTTATATTCATTAGTAATATGATATATACTATTTTCCAAAAATGATGACATCATTTTCTCGAAGATTAGTGTTAAGTTTCCATAATAATATCATAAAAAAAAACAAAGTAATATAAGTCATGTGGTATTTAATTTCAATCTTGAGAGAACTGTTGAATAGATATATTAGAAGTACTACTAATGTAGCAAGATTAATTTTTTTTTTGTTTTTGTATATATTTACATTCAAGAAAAATAGTAGAAGATTGACTTTTATTTTTTTAAAAGATATTATATTTAATACTTGATTAAAATTACAAAATTTGATATTTATAGTTGCTTTGAAATGGAATAGATTATCAAAAATTAATATTCTTATCGTCATACTATTTCTCAAGTATAAGAAATCAGGAATTACGAGTTTGATATATTGACAGTTACACTCATCGTCCTTGATAGTACAAAAAAATAAGATCATAGAACTTCCTAAGATGAAAAAAATAAAAAAATCTTAACAAATTGTTAATTTTTGATCTATAAACAGTTTTTGTTATATTTTCATTTTCAATTCACTTCAATATGTGTTTTTTTTATAATACTGCGCAACATTGTTTTTAGCTTAAGCGTTTGTTTGACTTTTCTGTAATTTAAGATAAAATATATGCTGATAGTGCATGATCTAATTATCTGATTTCAAGTTTTATTCATCGTTTATTTGAGATAATTCAGTTGGATTAGAGCTGTCCTATTTCTTTCTACACAATGATATATCATTCATATAATTTTTGATCCTAAAGATCTAAAACTTTTAACTAAAAATTCTATCAAATCTAAAATAGTATGATGGACAACAAATAGCTTTTTTCAACACATAGAAAATTCATGTCTAACAATGTAAATATTTCAATAGTATTTTCAATCATTACATACAATAATTGTATTATTCTGAATAGGGGTCGACAAGTTCAGATCTGAGGAACTGTTTAAACAGTTCTCGTGAACTGAACTGAACTGTTCGAACAGTTCAGTTCAGCTTACGAGAACCGTTAAAAAAGCTTTGTTCTGTTTTTGGGAATAATACTTCCGGGTATAAAAAGCTTTGTTCTGTTTTTGGGAATGATACTTCCGGGTATAAAAAGCTTTGTTCTGTTTTTGGGAATAATAATTCCGGGTATAAAAAGCTTTGTTCTGTTCTTGGGAATGATACTTCCGAGTATAAAAAAGCTTTGTTCTGTTTTTGGGAATAATAATTCCGGGTATAAAAAGCTTTGTTCTGTTTTTGGGAATGATACTTTCGGGTATAAAAAATCTTTGTTCTGTTTTTGGAAATACCATCTCCGAAAACAGAATAAAGGTTTTTTAACAGTTCCTCAGATCTGAACTTGTCGACCCCTAATTTCAAAAACATTCACAGAATATAGACAAGAGAAACAAGTAATTATTGTTAGAAAAAGTATCCTTTTTCCTTCTTGTATAGAAACAATGGTTATCTCTTCACCTTTTTCTTTTCTAAAAGAGAGAGACGATATTATTTTTTAAATATATACTATGGTTAACGATAAACGTTAGAGTCTTCATCTTTTGATGTTACAATCACATCCTATATTTATTGTTTAATACTTTTCGAATAGTTTTTTTTATCTAAAGAGCCTTGAAATTTTACACATGATAAAAAATAAATGTACGATTGTAGAGAATTTTAATTAGAAGGCAAGTTGAATTGCTTTTGTTCTAATTGTTATTACAACAAATTTTTGTGTAGTATCTATTCTGCTAAGAAATTATATGAAATTTATATGAATTTGATGTCTCGGGCTACAATATTAACTTTGTTTATTTTAAGATTATAATATGTTCATCTTTCAAAAGAACATATAGAAGATTAAACACCTGAAACGTTTGAAAAAATACCTTTGAAATCGGTCGATAAAAATTTTTAAGCAGAATTCTGCAAAGTTATATGCAGCATGAGAATGAAAGTGTACGTTTTCTCTTCATCTATATCTGCACTTCGACATGTGTGTCACTTTTTCTTTTCAAATATTAGATTTCAAAGAGTTCATCGAGCTTTATCTAAATATATATAAATATCATGATTCTTTTTGCTAGAATTGCGAACAATATGTAATTTAAATATCATCGATAATTGAAGGATAGTCAGACTTTGTTGTTTTTTTTTATTGCCAGACGTTTGTTATTTGCTTTTTTCCGCAATTGATTCTTATGATGAACAACAAATCAGATGTCTCATATTTTATAAATGAGTCACAAAATATATTTTCTCAATTGGCAACACTAGATATTGTGACGTTAGATGTATATGAGCTGTTATTTCCTCGATTTTATTAAATAAGAAAAAAAAAACCAAATTTTTATTATTAATCGTAAATTGCTCTCGAAGCAATTGTACTATCAAATATATATTGTAGGCAAAATTCGAATTCGACTAGAGATCAATTCATATAATTAAAATCTGAATAGAATAATGATTTATTCAAAAATATCTTTGCATTACTTTAAACAATTTTTAAGAGAAAAAATTCGTTGTGTATGACATTTATGCAAATAAAAGAACTCATGATTTGAAAGGAATGTTCAAGTCTATAGAGTAGACATTTTAGACTCACTTCCCTCTGCCCTTCCCCCACAGACCGTTACGGACATTTTAATTAATTAATTAATTAACCATTAAAGAACATTACGGACAGAGTTTAGAGACAGCTCTAACATCCATCAAGGAGTGGGATAGGTGTTTTTCAAACAGATTAAAAAATCTCATAGCGATAGACTATCATTCAGAGATGTCCATCGCGGCTCAAAATCTGCCGCTGCCGCGCCGCGGCCAAAATCAAACAAAGCTACCGCGCCGCTCCCGCGACGCGATGGCCTGTTAAAAAAAGCTACCGCGCCGCTGCCGCGCTGGTATTCGAAAAAATGTTTTGATTTTCAAGGCTTTGACTGGTTTGAAATAGAACTGATGCCGCTAATCGATCAGATTCGCTAAGTCTTACAGTATAGCATACATAAACATGCAGATTCTGTGAAAATTCATGAATTTTTGAAATTTTTTTTCTAAAAAGCTGCCGCCGCCGCGCCGCCATCGCCACGGCGGCAGCGGCAGCGGCGCGATGGACATCTCTGCTATCATTACAATATGTGAACTACTTGCTTATTACAGTTCTAAAGCACTAAGTACAAGGTTGGGAAGAAATATATTCTGAAACTATTTCTACTTGTTTATCAACAACAGTTTTATCGTGTTTCATATTGTTAATCCTGCAGAGTTTGTCCTAACAGCTTTTTTTATATGAACATAGTCTTGTAGTACTCTTGCCTTTAAATTACATATGCAATATGGTATTGAATTCGAGTCAGACATTTTTTATTATTATTATATTGTGAAAATGTCATTTATCGATACAGCTGCTATGATTAGAAGTTTTCTCTTTTGCTTTTTTTTTTTGTTTATTGCCGCTCTACTTTATCGTAATTTTAACGATAACATATATTCATAAGAGTTGATCATTTTGAATTTGAATTGATTATATCACAATCTAAGTGGGAGTTGTTTGGCATTTGAAACAATAAGAAGTGTATGGGCGATGAATAAATTTGTTTTTATATTTTATTTTACTGATATAATTCTTCTATCATCGATTGTTGTCACATGTCAATCTGAATATAATAATAAATTTCAATTGAAAAAATTACATATATAGATTGACTCAATGACAATACAAATATACAGAATAATATCAAATATAATAAATTTTGTCATTCTAAAATACCAAATAACTTCTATATCATGATCAAGATAAATAAATCATCAATGAGTGGTTTTGTCTAATTCTGTAGTTTGGAAATTCCTAACTTTGATAAAAAAAAGTCAGACAAGAAATATTTACAGATAAATCATGATTGACGTCATCTTTATTCTAATTGAGATATTGAACAGTCGTTTTTTTATATAAATACCTGTTAATTTCTTCACATTCTATTACACGTTATTTGAAGTTCCAAGAGGCTGGTACTCATAATTGGATCATCCTAAAAAAAAAATATTTTTTTTTTCTTTTAATCTCTAATTTCAAATGTTCATCCCTTTCAAAATAATTACATCGATGCTGGTTATCATCGTAATCATGTTTCAATTTTCAATCGTACACAATGTACAACAACATCATCATCACGGTTTTTGTAATGTTGTTGGTACAACACTTTGTGTTGAAAATCATTTATTAGGAATTGCAACAGGTGCCAATACTATTATGCGTACAGTTGAGGAAATTGAAAATCATATTGTAAGTGACATTTTCTCTTTAAATCAATAAATTTACTTTCATATTTACAGAGAACTATCGAAAAAGAAAATAATGAATTCGAAAAACATATTGAAAATGTAATGAAACAAATTAGAGTTCATCTACCTACGCATCATTATTCAGATAAATTTGTAAATCAGAATAATATTAATCAAGTAAGTTGTATAAATTACTTTTCATTATATTTATTTATTTATATTTTAGATTGAATTAATCCGTTTATTTCAAGAACATTATAATGCTATGATCTTCTATAATAATTCCATCAATATTATTCTCAATCTCAATCATTTATTTCGACATAAGATTACGAATTTATTTAAAATAATTCCTTCAATTTTGAATGATGATGTTATCTGTAATTATCAACTTGTTTTACGTATTTATTCAAATAATCAATATTTTTCCTATCAAATTGATAAAGATCCATTCAAAGAAATCTCATTGGAAACAGCACCATCAGTTAGGCATAATGTTTATTCAATAATTATTGCACAAGAATTAAAAAATTGGATGAATCGAACTGAAAATCTTATTACGAATCTCAAATGGAAACTCTTTTAATGTCTAGAAGAAAAAAGAAAAACAAAATATTCGTCAATTATTCAAGAGATTTTGATTTTCATTTCAATTGTTGATGCAAGAATTTCTGTATCTATATAATTAATCTAGATAATTTGTACGATACTCGGTTGTTTGTGAAGTACTTTTCTTTGTATCTACAATGTCATTTAGGTAATGAAATAAATGAAATGATGCACATGCGAATGAAAATATATTTCATCAAGATTTGACTAACTCATCTAAAAAAAATTAAAATAAATATCTACAGTTTTGAAGACTATTTTACAGATTTTATTTTCAAACTTTAGTTTCGAACGAACAGGCTACATATGACCAAAAATCGATCCGGGTTTTTTTTTGCAACGTATCGTTTTGGAACAGATCCTAGACATCTGCAAAATCAGTTTTTTTGGTCCCGGTCCCGCTGAAAAATGTTTTAATCCCGGTCCCGGTCCCGGTCAAAATTTTTCTTCAGTGCCGGTCCCGGTCTGGACTCGATGCCAGTTAAAAATTGTATTATGGTGAAAAAATTCTGATTCTTGAAACTGAAACGAGGATCGATGAAAATTTTTATCAGAATTGTAAAGAAAATTGCTGTTTTTTTTAGATTTCTGATCACAAAAATATAAGAAATACCTGAACGCAGAATCGAGTTTCTGATAAAAAATAATACCGGGACCAGCTTGAAAATTTTGGTCCCGGTCCCGGTCCCGGCGGGACCGGGACCGGGACCACTTTGCAGATGCCTAACAGATCCAGCACGATAAATCTCGTCACGAAAGATATTTTCATGCAATTTGACTATCCTTTGGTAATATGTCATCAGAAATTTCCATTGTATATTGTTTAGCATCTTTATAATTTTACCGTCAAATGTGACCCTGTGAAATATGTTGATTGATGCCAAAGTTGTAATCAATAGGATCTTTTCCCTTATCGATACAGGCATAAGTTTTGATCAGACTTGGAACTGAATCGGATCGACTGATTTTTTTAATTATTGGTCTAATTGAAATTTGAAAATCGGCTAAATTTCATCAGGTTTTTGTTGAATTTTTATCAGCTTCTTGAGCACTGCAATTAGTATTTTTTTTTATCGAAATCGAAGTTTTTACGCAATAATCTTTACTGTTCAATGAGCTAGTGATCTTGAATCATACTGAATATATCAAAAGTTAGCGAAAGATTTAAAACCTGAATTCAATCTGAACATTTCGAGTACACTTCTTAATTATTTTTGTTTTGCTACCTGCTAGAAGATCTCACATCATGTTTTAATTATATGGATAATGGAAAAAAACATCCGTTTTGTTTAAAGAATTAACCAACTGTTCGTCTCATGCAATTAAAAAACACGTAGGTTGTAATAAGAATAATTTCAAAATTAAATTTTGTTACTCATTTTCTCTTCCTATTGAGAATAGTGACCTTATTGAAGATACTTTCAAGTAGGCGAGTGCCAGTTTATCTCGACTTTTTGCAAAGTAAACTAAAAATAAAATGTTATATTGAAACAATTCTTTCTTTAGTATTTGCGTAAGTGTGATATACAAGAGAGAAACATGTAAAAGTTCAACAAAATCTAGATCATCTAGTAAGAAGTAAAAACTTAAAATTACTTGTACCGATCTGCAAAGCATTAGTAATTGATTGATCATCTCTGTAATACAAAGAACATAGAAAGTTTTTTTTTGTTGTTATACTCGCCATAAGAATGACAAAAAACATATGCAGATAATTCAGATTCTGCATCATCAATCTTATTAGAAATTGCTTTGTGTATTATTCTTTGCATCTAGAAGCTAGACACTGATAGAAACATTATTGTTTTTTCTTGCCATTTTACATAAGAAATTTATAAAAGTAAGATATGAAAATGTTCAAATTATAAAGTTATTGAGTTTTCTTCACAATATGTTGTATTTTTTCATCTTAAAATCAATCACGTAAGAAGAAAAAACAAAATCAACATTGGTCGATTAAAATTCATTTTTTTTTCTTTTCACAATTGACAATTTATTTGCGTTCCTTTCGTGTGGAGCTTTTGTTTACATAAGAACAGAGAGAGTAATATTATTGTTATATTACGTCTTTCATATACAATACAGATGCACATGTGAATCTCAAGTTGTTTGATCGACTATGAAATAGGAACTCAAAAGAAGCAAAAAAAAAATAATTATAACATGTTCGAAAAGCAAAGTTCAAGTAAGATATTTATTTTATATATAGTTCGATAGAGTATGACCTGATGATTAAGAAAACATGTTGTTAAGTTTTGTGATTATCCTTTTCAGATCAAAAACTTATAAAAAGTCTTTTTGTTTTTAATAGTTACGAATTTTTTCTGTTCTGTATTATTGTTGAACTTTTGTAAATTGTATTTTTTAAAATCAGTGTCAATAACTGAGTATAAAAACACCGAAAATTCTGTTGGTGTTCTATTCTAATGCTTATAGATTATTTTTGTAAATTTTCATGATTTTCTTTATATAAATGATGAAACCACAAAGTTTATCCTCTGTTATTTATCGCACCACTATTATTCATAGAATAATTCACCGTTTTCTTTTTTCTTTCCTTTGCTTTATCGAGAATATTTATTTCTATCGATACCATAGGGCACAGGAGAAGGCCAAAATCAACCGAAATACGTCAAAAATAATTGCAAGTCAAATGACTATATTTTGAAAATCTCTAGAAGTTGTTTAAAAAACTCCTTTTAGAAAAAAAAAATACCACTTCATATCTCTTATCAGTAGTGCTTCGTGAATCCATTTACTAAAAATAAACAAAAACCGGTGATGGTTCGTTTCTAGACCCCGTCGGGTAGGACCCGGACCCGCACGGGCCCGGGTCCGAGTCCGGGTCTGAAAATTTTGCTTTGACCGGGTCCGGATTGGGTCCAGGTCTAAAGGAAACTTTGATCCATACAATTTATTTTGAATTTTTTTAAAGTTTTGTTCGTTTTATACAAAGAAGAAATCAAATGTATTTAGAAAATAGATAAAAAACAACAAAACCCTTCTTGACTATACTATCTAAACTGACTTGTCATTGTGTTTGGATCCAAAAAATTTAAGCGACCGGGTCCGGGTCCGAGTCCAAAAATTCTGGACCCGACGGGGTCTATTCGTTTCTCAAAATATCATGTGAAACCGACACCGGTAAGTGACCAGAAAGATGTTAAATCTATTCTGCGAAGTTTTCACTATTGAACTGTTAAGTTGAACGATGTAACATTTTCTAATAGTTAAACAAAATAATATTTTTGAATTCGTACTGAAATCTTTAATCTCTCTAGACTAAAAAATTCTTTAGTTGAATGACGTCGGATATATTTATGTTACCATTGACATTTTAAGATTACATTTTGTTTACATCTCCTGGCCTTCTTTTCATATAGGTTAAATGTACTTCATTTTAACTTATGATTATATTTAATTCATGAAATATAAAAACTGAAATACAATTGATATATTTTAAATTAAATGATTAAAATCAACATTTTAATCAAACAGATGAAAAGAAAATTTTTACTTTCATAACTATCTCTTAAGGAGATTTCTCACAGAAAATTGAATTTGGGTCTGAAAAATGGTTTTTCCTGATAAACATACGAATATATTGTCTGAGTTATCGAGTGTACGAGTTCATAAAAATAGCTTTGATTATCAAAGGACTTTTTCAGCATTCATCTCAAAATTGATTTCTAAACTAATGAATAAACTACGTAGAAAATTTTTTTTTTAAATACTTCATTCAATACGAGATGAATCCTGAGTTATTTAGAATTTTTCAGATTTAAAAAAAAATGATTCTGTTTCAAATGAAAGTAGCCCAAGCTCTGCAACTTGAAATATATCAATAAAAAAAAAATTTTCCTTCGTAAAAGTCTTGTTTTACATCTTGATCATTTGAAGCATTCTGAACAGTAAGGTATAGAATGTGAATTTTGTTTTGTTAATGCACTTCCATATGGCTAATATCTGTACAAAGTTCTATCAATATTGTGTCTACTCTGTTGAAGTTAAATTTTTAGGAGAATTCTTAACGGTTCATATTTATCTATTTTCATCAATTTTGCCTTTATTTGAAATACAATATTTATCATCAGATTTTCTTTTTGACTGATACTTTGAGATCTGAAAATTAGTCGCACAAGTTTCTAATTAGAATTTCTAACCATGTAACTTCTTTTTTTGTACTTCAAAATATAGACGTTGAATATTTAGCTTGTCTTTCCTTTGGAATTCGAAGATTCAGTCAACAACTACTTTCGAATCTATTATCAAATCGTTTTTCAATTGCTATTATGTTGTAGTGTCTTTCTTATCTACGAATTGAATTATGTAGATTCATTATCTTCAACTAACGTGACTTTTATCTACAGACATGAACTGAAAAAGTTTTAGTATCTGTTTTAATCTCTCGAAATATATCATAAAACAAATTGTTTTATTTTCAACCACGTAGGATCAGTGTTTTATTCAATGTGAGGCCGAGGAGAGACGTTCCTGCAAAAATCAGCTTGGTCTTTTTGGCTCTCGTATGATGTACTATGCATCTGTACTGCCAACAATGGGTGTACGCTCTCTCAGAACCCTAAATTGTTCTTTCGGAGAACAAAATTTGAGTAAAAACACCATTTTATCTTCATTGTATGAAGAATTCCATGAATTTGAATCTCTTTGTAGAGACTATTGCTATCTGCTGATGCATTTTATTTCATAAATAACAAGGTTGATCAGTTCAACTTAAATGTAAATTATTTGAAAAGAAGATATACTCTCTTTTTACATGTTGTTATATGACGATTTTTCTAGACATCTTCTATAGATCTTCAAAGTACACACGTTAGATTTACAATGATCTATTGCCTATTTATGACAATTTTGAATTAGTTTTAGTTAAAAAAAAGTAAAAATAACTATTCTTGATAAAGAACAGAAAAAAATTTGGTACATAAATTTATGACTAGTAGTGCAATAAATAACATAAAAATAAACTATTCGGCTTCATCATTTATATAAGAAAACTTAGGTAAATCAATAAAAACGAACTACAAGAATACGAATAGAACCGATATAAATTATAATCATCAAAAGAGTTTTAAGATCAAATTTGATTTAATAACTTGTTTGTACTAAAAAAGTCGTAAAAGTTTAACAAAATTTCTCAAACAACTTTTTCTTAGTTTTTGGTTTCTAGCTATTCACAAAATCTACTAATGAACTTTCTTGATCAGCAGATTCAACTGTATCGAATCCTATGCTAAAACAGTGGATAATATTTCTTAACACTTCCGTTTATGTACGCTGATTGCATCGATTTGATGAATAAATTATTCCGTCAATTATTTGAATAGAATAGACAATGAACCATAATCGAACGAAAAATACTTCATTAAACATTCATGTGAATAGGCAAATAAGGTGTACTTCAGATTGATATAAATAGTTTACTGTGTCTGTTCTGTTCCTTGTGTAAAATATTTGTCGATTCTCGGATGTGTTTTTTTTTGTTGTTCTTGCTGAGTAGCTAACACCATGAATAGTTACTTTTCTGTGAGTATATACGTTCATCGACCTCTTTTTTTTTTTTCTTCTTTTCTTAAATAAATAGAAAAGATTTCATTAGTCAAACTAATTCCTGGATGACGAGTTTTAATCTATTCCTTATATAAATTCCGACTGAGTCAGTTTTATTCATCGTTCATATAAAAAAAAAAGAAAAAGTAGGTAAAACTTCATGTTGTTTTATAGATTAACAATATCGACTTAAGTAATAGTCAATAAGGCTTGTTTTTTTGAGCGTTTAAATTTATTTTATTAATGTAAAAAAAGTACTTCTATATCAAAATATAATTCTATTATTCGAAAAAATAATAAAAATTTAGATTTTTTTTTTATTACCGGTTTTCGATGGACTGTTTTAGTCAAGTTAGACTTAACCAAAAAGTTTAGTTCTAAAATTAAAAGATAGACAATTTTGTGTAAAATTCATTGATATATTCTCTTTTAAAATAGCTTTTGGCATTTCTTTGTCACATCAAAATTACTGGATGCCACAAAAAACGTTAGCTGCTCAGCACGTCATTGGAATAAAATGCCATTTATATTTGTTAAATAGTGTTTTAGACATAAAACCAAATTTTTGCACGAAACTTTACTATTTAAAAAACGACACACAAAATATGCCTAATTATCAATTAGTGACCCATTTTTATGTCAAGAGAAACATTTCAACTTCGTTATTCGGTTGAAAAAAAGAGATCAACTCTAATAAAAAAAGTAGACTTTGTAGAGCTCAAAATTTTGCATCTGTTTATCTACAAAAGGATTATTAAAATTGCTGAAGAAAAATTCGATTCCGTGGATTGCGGATGTATTCTCAATGTTTTGTAGTTTTCAAGCGAAAGGCAACTAAGCGTATCAAAACGAACACACCACTATATGCAATTCTACATCGGGCACTACAAGAAAGAGAATTTTGAACTCAATCTAACTTGGCAAAAACTGATTTTTAAGTGTTTGAGCGGTTGCCGTCTTTATGATATTCAGTAATTTCGATACTACAGAGAAATAGAAAATGTTCATTTAAAAAGGAATATATCAATAAATTCTACATTTTAGCATCTGAAGAAAACTTTTAGATCGAGTCTTATTTGAGAAAACAGCCTATCAATAGCCGGAAATTTTCTCTGCCGCACCTGTTAATTGATCTATTGGTATGTTTATCTATTTTCTTTTACTAAATTTTTTTATACAATTCGTAGTATTACAATCGAATTGTTTGCTAAAATTATGAAACATTTGGGAAAAATAATATCATCATCAGATTTACTATTGGTAATGAAGCGACTAGCCATCGTCCTTATTTTCATATGTATTTGTATAATAATCATCAGTCAGATATATGTTTCGAAATTCAATAAAATTACTACGATTATTAAAACCAATACAACTAGAAAACCTACTATATTAGAGTCAAATATATCTTCAGGAGTTGGTGTAATAATTGAATTTCGTTCTAATAATTATCTTGTTGCTATTATTCTAAATGTATTTCATAATATACCATCAAATTGGAGTATACAATTATTTCATGGATCATCAAATTATGAATTTATTATGAATTCAACATCTTTATTATATTTTATAAAGATTGGACGACTTATTCTAACTCAATTACCAGAATATACAGGAGCTAGTAGTCAACGTCATTTATTTCTTAATCGATTGTTAACAAATGAATCATTTTGGAAACGTGTTATTAATGTTGAAAAAATTCTATTCTTTCAACTTGATACAGTTTTTTGTTCAAATTCTCCATATAAATTTTCTGATTTTCTTGAATGGGATTATATTGGAGCACCATGGCCTTATTCATGGATAAATATGACTGGTGGTTCACTTGTTGGAAATGGAGGATTTTCACTTCGTAGTCGATCGAAAACACTTGCATTAATAAAAACAAAACCTTACAGTTTATCAATTTATGAAGATCTTTATTTTGGAAAATATATGCCACTTGTTGGTGGTAAAGTAGCTCCATTTGAAATAGCACAAAAATTCTCATCTGAAGGTCAACATTATATAAATTCTATGGCTATTCATAAACCATTTGGTGATAATTATGGTCGAATATGTCAACTTTGTCCAGAAGCAAATCTTATTCCACCATTTTGTCGTTCTCAACCTCCTCCGTACTTTTTTTCAATGTAAAAAGGTAATACTACATCATATGTGTGTGCCTATGAGTACAAAGTCTGAGAGAAGAAAAATTTGAAATTATCATGTGAACAGTTACTCAACTTGATAATCATCCGGTATGGGAATTAATGATATGGAAAATATGAAATCAAAGTGAATCGATAGTTATGGATGAACATAAATGAAAAAAAGAAGAACTTTTTTTGTTTTTAGTAATTTTGTGTCTTTTATATTTTGTAAATTAATATGAAAAAAAAAAAATTTTGAATATTTTTAGGACTCTATAACAATATATTTGATTTGTACACCTTTTTATTGACTATTCATTTTTTGTTCGGGATAGAAGACATTGTCCTGTGATTATCTTTTCTTTTTGTTATTAAATACTATTGAATTTTTCTATTAATAGTATTCACTATACGTTAAGATGGTGATGATGAAATCTTACAAATTCATAATTTTTTTTATATTCAATTTCTATGATAAATGTCTGATTAAAATAATAATTCAGATGTTTCTATTTATTATTTTAGCCATTATAGAAAACTTTAGTTGTTATATTTAAAATAATTCTTACCAATCTCACTGCTAAGAATTTTAGGAGTGTGAGTAGAGGTATAGGCCGCAGGGCCAAACAGCGGTGCCGGTTTTAATGGTCAAATTTTTTTTCCATAGCGGCGGCGCCTAAAAAACTCTTAAAATTGTCTATGATTCCATGGCGGCGGCGACGGCTCAGCTGTACGGCTTACACCTCTAGGTGTGAGTGTGGGTATAGCCGACTGTCATTACATTAACATCCACCTTCGTTAATAACGTTGATTTAATCAAGTTTTTCGAATACTCAAATAGCAAATAATTCATTGAATTGTGTGCATAGAGATGCATTTCTTCGTTCAGTGAATATTGTATACTTTTCTCGAGTCGATAAAACACAATCGCACGAACTAGTACTTAACTATGAGTTAAAGCTTATTGCTTTGAATTAATGAAATGTAAAAATTGACATTTTTACTATCATATGATCGATCATAAATTTCGTTTTACACATCATGAATAAAACAATTCAATTCATGGTACATTCTTCATACATAAAAGTGTAATTTGACAGATAATTAAAAAAAACAATGGAAACAAATCTTGTACATAAAACAAAAATATGAATGTGTGGGTATGGAGAAGATTCATACGCATATAAACACACTCACTCTAAATATATATTTTTAAAAAAATGACTGTAACTAGATCTTCTCTCTACAAAGATATACAAAAATTCATCTATTTTATTTTTATTTAACTGGATTTCCTACTTTCGGTAAAGTACATTCTCGTCTTTTTTTTCTTAATAATTCATAATGACTCGCCATAAAACGTCGAATAAATGGAATAAATTCATTCCAATTTTGATCATATATTAATCTATCCATATGTTGATGAATATAAAATTCATCAAGTTCATATATTTCATCAGATTTAATATAATGAAAACTATTTGATTCAGATTCATTATGAAATTTTTCATATTTATCTTCAGCTAATGTAAATATTGATGGATATGTTGAAAATTCAATTTTTTTTGTTAATTTAACACCTAATTCATTAGCAAGACAAGAAAGTGCAACATCAAATAATTCAGATGTATTTGGCCAAATATTTTCAATATAATTTATTAGATGTGGTTGCATTATTTCAAGTAATTTCATACTAAGAAAAATTCCAGTATCATCTGATGAAGATTCAATAGTAAATGTTCGATGATTTTTTGTTGGACATGAATATCGATCTAAATGATCATCTAATAGAATAGGTTTTGTATAATCTAAATCATTAAGATGTTTAAGTAAATAATGAGGAATAATAAATGTATCACAATTAGTTATATAAAACCATTTTTGTCGTTGATTTATAGAAATATTCATTTGTTGTTGATAAATTATTTGAAGACCATAAAATAATTTTTTCATATTTGATAATTTATTTTCATTAAGATCAGAAATAATCGTTATAGGTAAATAAGGATAAGAAGTTGTACTAAGAAAATAATAATTTGTTATACGTGAAAGCCATGTATCACGTATGATTGTTGCTCGTGTATGATAATATTCTGATGATGTCAAAATAATAAATATAATATCATTTTCAGTATATGTTTGGGAATTTAACCATTTATCTTGTGGAATAGGTAGTTTATTACAATATTTTTCTAAAGAAATTTTTCGATATATATCAAATGAATCTTTTGTTGGTGTTGTTGATGATACTGGAAATCGACTAATATTTGTTTTATTACAGATAAAACTTTCAATTGATTGATGAGAAACATTTGTAGTTATATTCGTTTGAGAATGATTTAGATTTTGTTCAGCAAACTTGAATATAGATGAAGTTTGAATAAATTGAGCTCTTATGTCAGGTGATATATTTATACGAAAACCGATTATGAATGAAATAATGATAAAAATAGTGAAACAATTTATTAAAAAAATGTCTTTTTTTGATATTGATTTATAATTACAAATAAAAACCATTTTTTATAAAATGATATAAGAAAATAATCTGAAAATTGATTAAAAAAAATATTGTCTTATGATTGACATAAGATGAAATAGTTCTATGCCATGACTTCGATACATGAATTCTGGTACATACAGTGAGAGGGCTCAAAAAAGCATGTACATTTTTGTTTTTACGCATAAACGAATAATAAGGATATTCTGGAAATTTTCTCTCATATCGGACTTTGTAGAGCTTTTTTCGCTGATCATTTTGGTAAAAAAAGTTTTTGATTTTCATTGAGTAATGACGATGTTATAGTCAAAATACTAAACACTGTAATATAAAGTAGGGGGAAAAGTTTAGCACACTTTTAGTATTTGGCTAATTTTTACGTTATTTCACAACATCTGAAAGATGTTCTATATATTATTCGACGCAGAATTTAATGGGCTACATTTTGGTAACAAGCACTTATACTTATATTGTAGTTAATTAATTAATTAATTAATAGTCAATTAATTAGTTAATTAGTTAATTAATTCGTGTTAATTAGTTAATAATTAATAATTAATAATAATTAGCAATTAATTAATATATTTTTTTTTTAGTTCCAACTCTTTCATATGAAAGAGCATAAAAAACTGAACAAAACTCTATAATTACTATTTGGAAAGCAACGAATTTAGTGAGGTTTTAGTGTGATTTTCAGAGTATGTTCAGTTGTAATTAGATATAGTATGTACTACAATGTTTAGTATTTTGACTATAACTTCGTCATTACTCAATGAAAATCAAAAATGTTTTTAACCAAAATGATCAGCGAAAAAAGCTCTACAAAGTCCGATATGAAAGAAAATTTTCAGAATATCCTTATTATTCGTTTATGCGTAAAAACAAAAATGTACATGCTTTTTTGAGCCCTCACTGTATCCATTTCAAAATACTCAAAAAAAAGACTATTTCAGGTCGAGTTACTAGAGTAGGCTTAGCATTTTCTATAATATTTAAGTTAAAAATGAGAGAAGATGAGTTTTTAAATGCCATTTAGATGAAATATGGTTAATGTCTCTCCTATCGAATTCACATCTTGCAACATGTAAGCGTCGTGAAGAATAGAAAAGAAAAATTTTTCAACTTGTGTAAACAAAGTATGCCAACATTTATGTCCATGGAGATGTAACCCTCGAAAAAAGCAATTCCGATCTGTTTAATTACAGAAGAAGTTTGATTTAAAATTCATTGAATTTTGACAGATTTTGTTATAATTTCATTTATTAACAACATAAATCTATTAGACTGATCATTCAAATTATAGTTTCTTTTATTTTCTCTCTCAATACTGATACATTGAAGTTCCGTATGAATAAGAACGAAAAAAAAAAAGATCTTACTTTTTATCAGGACACATGACAATGCAACTGCAACACGTTAACAGTGTTCTTCAAATGAATGAATGAAGAATATGAATTGCACAGTAAGAAAAAGAAAAACATTGAAAACAACTCACAATACGACTTCACTATGTGCGAGAAAAAAAAAGGTTTTAGTCTTTTTTTCTTTTGTATTTAAAAGTCAATTAAATTGACAAGGTCGATTATAAATTTATTTTCATCTTTTTGTGAATCTAAAACTATCTGTTTATCGATTTTAATATAAAACATCTTTACCAAGATTCAAACACAGAACTTTGATTATATTGAGTGAACGTATTACTGAATTTATATTTAATTAAGACAAAAAATAAAATAAATACAAAAGTTATTTAAATTTATAGCGTTATTCATTTTCTCTCAAACTTTTTTCAAATGTAACTAAGCTTCTCAAGACCAAGTAATCGATTTGTATAGTTTTAATGAAGTAAACCTGTCTTATTGTATCGATATAAGGACAAATAAATCTAAAATCAATTTGAATGTACCATTCGGGAAACAGAATTTTTTCTTTGATCATCAGAGTGAGCACTGATTCGATACTTGATTCAAGTTTCAAAAACCATACTTTTAAATATAAAATCGATCGATTTTCTACTATAAACTTCAGAATTATTATATTCATGTTATTATCAAAATCTGAATGAAAAAGGGATAAAACTTGAATCGAAAAAAGACAAACACTTTTAAATAGAGGACAAGAAGAAAAAAGAAAAGCATAAATTGGATACGAATACTTATCAAGTCCGAGATATGAGTCATGTATCGTACCATGTGCTACAAATTAAAACTCATACCAAAGGTTACTTTTCGTATGTGTGATATTCAAGCAAAAGAGATAAATTAAAGCAACAATGCCTACACCATTTAAAGCAGCAGCTGTTCATGCTGCGCCAATCTTTATGAACAAGGCTGCAACGACTGAAAGAGTCATTCAATATATCAAAGAAGCAAAAGAAGCATCAGTTGAACTTCTTGTCTTTCCCGAGACATTTATTCCTGGCTATCCATATTTCATTAATTGTTATCCAATCTATACTCAATCATCAGTACTCGCCGAATATATTGAACAGTCTGTTGAAATCTTCGGACCAGAAATTAACAGTATTCAAGAAGCTTGTCGTGATTATGGTGTATGCATTGTTCTAGGTATTTCTGAGCGAATGTCAGGTACTCATACAAGCTTTAATACTCAAGTTTTTATTGAAAGTGATGGTACACTTCTCGGAATTCATCGAAAACTTCAGCCAACAGGCGCTGAAAAAATTATTTGGGCAAACGGAGGTGGTTACACTTTGCGTACTTATCCTTCAAAACATGGCATTCTTGGTGGTTTACCTTGTTGGGGTAATGCAATGAATAGTGCACGGCAAGCACTTATTCAACAAGGTGAACAGATTCATGCAGGTGCATGGCCTGCTCTAAGTGCCATGGTTGGTCTTGAAGAATTGGCCGATGTTCAGGTAATATTTTAGTCGTTGATGAACTCAACTTTTATTAGTTGTAACAATTTATTGCTTGAAAACAGCATAAAAAAAAAGGTTTTTATTCGACACAATAATAGCATTTTAGTTTTTTTTGCTGAAAAGTACTTGTTCTTCGAAATTGAATTTCTGAGGATGTCCTTTTTTTCTAAATTTCTATTATTCAATATATTTATCTTTAAATGTTTGCCATCGGATAATATATTAATTAAGATTGATGCCATGATGAAAAATCATGCATTGACTGGTCAATGTTGGGTAATCTATGCGTCCAGTACGGTCGATCAATGTTGTCTTGATTGGATGGAGACTAAATTAGGTAAACAAGAATTGATCAAGAGTGGAGGTGGCGTAAGCGGAATTCTTCATCCTTTTAACATATATCTTGCTGGGCCTCACAAAGGTTTGGAACAAAAACTCGTCATCGGTGAAATTGATCTTAGTCAACTTGGTATAATCAAAGTTTTCATAGATTCAGCTGGACATTATAGTCGACCAGAAGTTCTTCAGAACGATATTAATGATGTTCCAATTTGGCCAGATGAGAAAAAGATGACATTTCCCATCAAGAAGGCTCCTACTTTAAACAAAAACCAAGAAGGTGATACTGCAGTTATTGCGGATGCAGAATAAAAATCTTTTTGTTTTTATTGTGAAAATCGATTTGAATGAATGATGTGATTGATGTCTTTTTTTTGACAAAAAAAAATATACGAAATAGAATGAATAAAATTATTTATAACTGATAAAGTCACATTACAACAATAGTTAATGGCACTTGTACTTAGGATGGACTAAAAGCTCTCATATCGGTGTTTAAAGGAGCTTGTTGGATAAGATGGTCTATTCAGAATTGAAAAACCAAACATAGCATGTTGTAGAGCGTGTTGAAGCACGTCAAATGGTGTATCGTAAACCCTGTTTTCATAAGATTTCGAAGGAACTAGAGTCAATTTACTGATAGAAGACTGCACATCAAAATCCGCGCCTACCCACATCCAAGTATGATAAATTACTGAATATTGTAATGCTTGGTATTAGTAGAAAATGATTGTATACGTAATTTTTTCTCACATATGATTTTGTAGAGTTTTTATTGAGCTACAACCTCATATATGTAGCATCTTTGGTCATCTTGTAGGTTCTATCAGTAAATTGACTCTAGTTTCGTCAAAGTTTGATGAAAACAGGATTTACTATGTACCATTCGACGCACCTCAAAAAGCTTTACAACAGGCTATATTTGGTTTTTTTATTTCTGAATAGATTACCTTATCCGACAAGACCTTTTAAAGTCCAATATCAGAACTTTTGGTCAATTCTAAATAAATGATAATTTATGATTTACCACTAATATGTGATTCTCTGAATCAATTCCTAAATCATATTCCGATTTGTAGATAATCAAACAGTTGAAGTTTTCAAGAAGGAATTTTTTTAAACATACGATGTACGGTACATACCATAATTCAATCTTATCCTTCTTGCCCAACGATAAACTATCATCTAGACAAAAACTTTCCAAGTTATATGTGTTAAAGGTATTTAGTGAATGTTCTCAACATATAATAATGTGTATTAGAGAGTCAAAATTTACTAATCTCAACTAATAATTCCTTATAGTTGTACATCACAATACAACATGACACGAAGTAAGTCAACTTGTTCAGAAATAAAAACCTGACATCATGGAAAAAAGTCATTTTTGTATTTTTCATATATGAGAAAAAGAAGTGAACTCTGGTTGTTTTTCTGCTTGACCAATTTCGTTGTTGGACAACTGTCTTTGTATAGCATTCTCTCAGATATTAGACGCAATGACATTTTCAAATAGCACGAGCGAATAACATTGGATGAAGGATAATACACGTTTATCAGTCTAGATGACTGCCTCTTGTCATTCAACATAGAGAACTTCCGCATACAATTAAAGATAGATACTGTGTATACAGCTCGTAATTTAGTCTTTTACTACAAAAAAATAATTCTGATGATTAAAATAACAGAAATAACGAGTGTAGATTGTCTATTAGTACAGCTTTTGGATAGTTATTCAAAAGGAGTGTTCAAATTCAATTCATTAGCGTTTATAATCTCTCTTTCTAACTCTTGATAATCCTTTCTAAGTCCTTGCAAATAATCAAATGCTTCGATGTGTTCCACTGATTTGTTTTGTTCTTTCGAAGATTCATCGAATTGATTCAAACCTATTTCGCAAAGATGTTTAGATGTAGTTGTCTCATTGGTTATTGCACACACTTGTTTATCAGTCCATGCAAGATCAGATTCATTATTAAAAATATATGGACGACAATAATTTATCCCACATTTAAATCCAGTCGGTGATGAATTAGAAAATCGCCACCATTTTTTCATATCGATAATTAATTTTTGTCCAATTTCTTTTGGAATAATATTTTCACCGCGAAAAAGTAGCGAAGTAGCTAAGATACTTTTATATGGAGTTGATTGTTGTATAAAACAAGTATGATTTTGAGAAAATAATGGAACACACATATCATATACTGATGGTGATTTGAAATCAATGTTTGTACTGTATGAAAATGGTATTAATGGTGCAAGAAATGATGAGAGCATTTTCAAGTTAGGAAATGGAATGAGTGCTGTTTGAAATTCATTCAAATCTGCTAGTAAACAACCCTTAAATCTCATAGAACATGTTATATGACTCCAACACATAGCGATCAATCTATTCATATTTGTATATGTCGGAGTGTCGATCTCAAGTCGATGTTTACATAGATTGAAAATAGCTTTGTTTTCCATGGGTATAATGACATGGGCACATTTCAATAGATTGTACATACTGATAATATCAATAGAAGAGTCAAATACGGAGTTTGTCACAATAGATTTTGTTGGATAATCGGATGTTAGTTTTTGTAAAAGTTCAGAAGTAAAATTTGAACATCGACCATATGTAGCATGAGATATTATAAAGCCTTGAAAATTTTCATAATTTTCGATTTGTTTTCGAATTTTATCTAAAATCGTTTCATAAGAATTTGTCATTAAATGAAATTGATCATCGGTATATAGATTTCGATATTTGCTGGATTTTATTTCGTCGATAGTCAAAGAATGAGAATCAATAAATAGAGCACGAGGACGATAGTTATTATCATTCTTTTCCGAAAAGAAACATACCGGAGGAATATTTTGTTCTGTTTTATTAATGATATTGCCATCGATAGCTAAATTATGTTCCAAACAATATAATTCCCAACATCGATGACCAATTTCGACACCAGCTGACCCAATATGAAGTTGAAAAACTTCACGATCATTCGTATCTATATCATTTGCCATAATGAAAATCTACAAAATAAACATGATTATTCAAAAACAACCGAAATGTGTTAAAAAATAACGCAGTAAAACTTTCATCAGATTACAAAAAAAAATGCGAGAATCATGACAATGTTTTCTTATTTTTTTTTGGTTCTTCCATTAGTCACATGTTGTATACTGAAAGGAAAGAAACACGATATACTATTTTCACGAGTCATGCAAAGAATTAATGATATAGAAAGTGGCGACGCAACAATCAGAGCAAAAAACATCAGGGCAAAACTTGAATCGGATTTGTAACAATCTTGAGTCTCAACAAATAGTCGCTATTCTCTAATAGAAATGAGAATTTGACGTGTTGCATTTTCAAAGAGAATGTAAAAAATCGAAAGGCAAAATTAAATTGAACATATAAACGATCTTGTGAGACTATGCGTTTGCTTATGTCACTATATATAATTTCTTGTCATAATAATCATTTTATTAATATTGAATCTATGTTTAGGGATTCTATAGCTGAATATTATCATTACATGTTAAGAACTATTTGAACGAATGAGACAATTATAGTTAAAAGCAATAACAAATAGACTAAACATTATGTAATTTGAACTAGTCCAAACTTGTAAATTGATATTATTCAAAGCAAATTTTTATCACAACTTAAAAAAATGTCTCAAACAAAACCTTTTTCTTCACTTTGAACAATGAATTTCGAAGTGTTCAGTCGATGATTATTCATTATTATCAATAGCGTTGTTGGAGATTTCTATTCAAATAAATTATCTCAAAGAAAATTTTGTTTGAAAACTATCGATGAACTGCAATTAAGCGATTATATATTTGGCTAAAGACTCGAAATTTCACTTGTGATTAAATAGAGAAAATGATTTGTTGAAACTTGGTCTAAATAGTCGACATTTATTCAAACATAACAAAACTCCATTATTATCTAAAGTGAAAAAAGTATTTCGAAACTATGATGGGTGTGGGTGTGGGTTTTAGATCGTGTTTCACAAAATAACCAAAGAAAATGAAATAAAATTGAATGGTCCATGAAAAATGATTCAATCAATAATAATCAAGGAAAACGAAAACAAGATGAAGAAAATCGAGCGGAAAGTACAAGTAATAAAGGCTTTAGTTCTAAAAAAAAATGTTGGAATGAAGCAACGATTCAGATAAAAAGTTGAAAGACAAAATTCAAATCAAAAGAAAAGAAAAGAACAAAATCGATTAGAAGATTGACAACGTAAATTCAAGACTGTTTATGATTACATTGTTTTTCGTGTATGATATTGAAACCGCTTCCAGACACAACGAAAATCGATGATTTCTTCAAAGTTCTTATCAAACGACTATTTACTATATGAGCATCTAAAAATTCATCAAACGTGTGATGTCAATTATTTAACTTTGCATTTTTAGGAAAAGTTGGAAGTTTGGTATCCATTCCAATTTTCTTTTTATTATCATGTGCCTTCAAAGTAATAGTCTCGGAATTTGTGTCGATAACTTCAAAAAGTGAATAAGGAGAAAATAGATATTCTTCTTCTTCTGGAAAATATGATATACTTGATATATCTCGTACTTGAAGACAGCCCGAATAAATTTTTATAGTTAATAGTGTATTGCCAAAACTTTTTGCTTTTTCCTTATTTTTTGATGTTGAAACAAATCCAGGAAATCGAAATATTGTACCAATATTAAAAAGTTTTTTATTATCATTAGTTAAATTTATTCCACGATATACAACACAATCATTAGACGGAGGATTATAATTAATTTGATTTGTGGCTCTACGAATCAATGGCATCAATTTTGAAATTGTATCATCATCATCTTCATGTATTTGTTCATTGATAAAAGTGTAACATCGTTGTGTTCCAATTGTATGATTAGAAGAATACATTCGAATAGCATTTTCTTCTCTTGGAAGATCTTTTAATGTTTTAAGTATTTCTTGAAATTCGACACTACCATCATCTAATTCTTTCAAGGATTTGTGTACATTCGAACGTGTTGGAGTTTTCGGTGTTTTATCATAATGTTTAAGAAAGTTGCTGTTGTAAAAATCTGTCTGAGTAACAATTGGTACTGATGGATTGAATCTATCCTGTCTCATCGGAGTAATTATATCTAGAGTACGACGATATATTGAAATCAGAGATGTCCATCGCGGCGCTGCCGCTGCCGCTGCCGCGATGGCGGTGGCGGCAGCGGCAGCGGCAGGTTTTTTAAAAAATCACCGCGGCAGCGGCGCGGTAGCGACAGATTTTTAAAAAATCATTGCGGCAGGTTTTTTAAAAGACCATCGCGGCAGCGGCAGGATT